CAGAGAGAGAATATTTTTTTTCTTTTTCAGGAAATGTTAAATATTAAAATAAAAAAATCCTAATAAAGAAGTACATAATATCTTTGTTTGGGGGTATTTTCTAGAAAATGTGTGAGAAGAATATACAAACATTTTTTAGAGATATTCGCCGGGTTTCTAACGTGTTTAGAAGACAAATCATTTCTTGAAAAAACTTTATTCTCTTATAATATTTGGGAAATATTTTTAATGAAGGTTTTTCATACTATCTGCCCCCTCATGTAATATGTTTGTTTTTTAGATTAATTTGGATATAATGTTCATAATTTACTGTTAATTCTAATCCAACCACGTATATAGAAACGTAATCTTGATTTTTTCAGGGAAGGAATAATTTTCTCATTCAAAAATAACTTTTGAATTTCAGATAATTCAAAATTTTTCAATTTACACTCCAAATGTAAATAAGTCCCAAATTGTCCACATAGAAAATTTTTAACATATATATAGTAAACTTAACCCCCCCCCAAAAAAAAAGAAATCAAATTTACAAATCACTTATTTCAAAGTGTAATTGTTCAAAATACAACGGATCATTACATCCATGCAAATCTGCGGGTGTAATCACAGGACAATTATGTAAAACAAATATTCTACACATAAAAATATAATTTTGAAAATGTTTTTTTTTCAATGATAAAAAAGATAAATTAGGTCAAATACATTTCCTGGCATTCTTACTCAGTAACTATGGCCGAATTCTTCTACAAAATGCAATTCTGTTTAGATGTGCTGCAAACATTGCAATTGAAGTCAAAGCACTTTTTTGACATGAACTTGGTTTAGTTTTAGTAAATAACCTGTATAAAACTTATTATAAAATACATTACGCCAATACATGTTCCAGTCGCTGTTTATGGAACCGCAGCCGCTCGCCACAACATTACTGCTTAATTTTAAGTGCAAATTTTTGTTAATTTTTTCCTCAACTAAGTAGCACAATGGTTTGCGTAAAAATGGCGTAAAGACGTTATCATTTTAAAAATTGTTATTTTGAGCTTTTAAGCAAATTTGCTCCTGAGATTATTGCCTGAAAAAATTTAGAACCTTAAATTAATCAATAAGGGAAAAAAATTATTGGAAAAACAATAACCAAAGCTAAAAATTGGCATTACTTATTATCTTAAAGAAATGAGTTATAGTTGAACACACTTTTTCACAGTTGTGGTCGGCTCACGCATTCATTCATCCTAAATAGCTAATGAAAACGGAAGAGTTCAGAGTAACCAGAATATTTGTCTTCAATAAGACACTGTCTCTGCGAAATATATCTCCACATATATACTAATTGAATAACTGAAGTCATTCGAATTTATCGTTTTTTTCGCAAATCATTTTTGAATAATTTACTTTCTCGCAAAGTCCTATACAAATTTTACTTTTGCAAAAAGAAACCTTAATAATCAGTCCTATGACTATTCTGGAGCCTTTTTGTTTATTACCAATTTGCTATACTTACAAGAAGAATACTTAAATTCATTTTTACAAACATTAATTACAATTAAGTCACCTCGGGTGAGGCCAGCTTGTTTAACCTGACAAACGTCCATTCCATAAGCTGGTATGTAAAGCAATATAAACGTCTATACTCTATGAAATTTAACAGATTCTTAGATTGATGGCCACTAAGGAAAGGCACATCATTAATTTAAACAGCACTTACACCAAGTATATTACGTATAGAAATTTGCTCCGGCTTTCATCATCTTTGAAAGGTAGTAACATCTCAGAATCGAAAACTTCGAAATGCTCGCACTGATTCAAAGTGAACGGAATTATACTCGTATATAATATCAATAACTCTCAATAGTGGTTCAAGGAACATATGCTGCTGTCCTGCATTTGCAGTCAATTCTACAAAAACCTCACTGGAGAGTGAACAGCGCCAATAGTTTTGGAGCAGTTCGTTTGAGCTTTCTGGCGCCGGCTGATGGCAACGCGAGCGTGAACGCTGACAAGCGAGAATAGCTTCGATCGCGCCTCCCGCGCCGATCTGACTACACTTACCGAATACATTATTTGGGACTCTGACATTAATATTAAATTTGGCAACCCAGGATAACGATTGGCCATTCTGCATGTGCAGCTCTAAAGCTGGCTAGCGCAGCTGAATAAAATAGGCATTGCATCGTGGCGGTACATACGATATAATGCGTAGGTGCTTCGTGAATGCCAAAACAAGTCACGTCGTGGGTGTGCAATGAAGTAGCTGATGTCGAAATTTATTCATACAAAAATCGAAACATGCTTTGGTTTCCATATTCGTTTCTTACAGTACCTTGAGTTTGTTCATACTCGTTGTTTTAGGAAATGCATGCAACCAAAGCCAAGTTTTTGGAACATTACATTCATATTATTCATGCGAGTAAATGTAGCGGGAGGGAAAATACTATTTCTGATTGTATATACATGCATTAAATATTGTTTGCCAAGAGAGACGACAAAGAAAAGTATTTATAAACATATTCTAGATAAAAATAACCGTTTAGATTCACAAAGATGGTTTCTCAAGGCAAAGGGAACGGTGTCCAAATGTTCCCATACAACAGAACAAACGCAAAATAAAGGGATTCTTTTGTGAACGCAAGTGTGATAAATGGGTACAATAAATGCAAGTAACAAAATTGCAGCAACAAAGCATTTATTATAGAGTCGAGCACCATAAAACATTTCACGCATGGCAGGGTTATTAATGCACATCAGGGCAGCCAGCAGTTGTGTTTCTGAAGAGCTGTTTGAATGTAAGAAAACAAAACTAACTTTACGGCACAATTCGGTTTATAAGCAGCATAAAAGGAAGCGGACGCGCTTACACTTTAAATAACACAACACAAGCCAATACAATGCGAGTGCAGGGCGGGTTCCGGAACGTGGGCGGCGACAGTGAATATTATATATCATTGAAATGGATCATAAAACATTGCAAGACACATGCATGTCACCCACGGGGCGCTTTATGTGAGGTTTATAGGCTCTAATATAGAGTCAGCTGCGGTTGTCCACACGAGGAGGGGAAAAAGGGCTGCTGTAGAGCGTTGAATGTATAAGGTTTGGGGAAGTTGTATGGCTGAGGCGCCTACCGAATGCTGGTAGACGGGTTGGCGCCATCTGTTTGGCTGGCCCAACAACCAGGGCTCCGATCACCACGCGCTCCTCTGCTGACAGAGATCGCGCGCTTTCAGTCACATAGCATACGGGCGGATGAGGACAGCGGCGAAAAACCGGAATTGGGAGAGCGGGGAAGAGAATGATCAAACTAGGGAAGAAGCGGAACACAAGATGATCTATTGATCACTGATTTAATTAGTTTCTATTTATTGGCAGAAACTTAAGAGAATCAGAAATGTGTGTTGCCATTGCGAGAGGAAGTATAGCTTCATGACGTTTAATAGACAACCCGGGGCCGTCTTATAGTTCATCACATAATATTCATAAGCTTATGTGCATTTCCACAAAAATTTAAATCCTCAATGCGTAAGGAAGGTGCTGCAAAAACTAAATTTTGGTTGTCTCAGATAACCAAATCCCCACATGCTTGCCTAAAATAAGAATTATAATCAGTGGCATTTGTCCCCTGAACGTTACCTTGTTACGTCAGCCGAATGCGACGTTCAAGAATCTGCGAGTTTCCGTCAGTCCCAGACACAATATGATTTCTTTAGGTACTAGTATTTCATCTAAACTTCTGTGATTTATTACAAGGAATTTTGAGGGCAGGAAGTAACTCACAAAGTCATGAAAAATCGTAACACTCCTTTCTTCATGCAGCCGATGAATATTGGAACAGACACAAAAGTGGGATCAGTCATGAAGATAATGTGGAGCATGGAAATCTGATGAATGATGCGAATATCACGGTAAGGAATCTGGATTAGATGCATCAGTTAGGAATTTGCCAAGGGATTTGGGATATGCGGCGTATAAGAAATCATAAACCAATCAGAGCAAGAAGGGGCGGAAGCAGGGAGTACAAAGGCAAACGAGAAACAAAAAGGGAAAAAAGGAAAATAAGGATTAAAAGAAAACAAATTAAAGTAATCATTATCATAACCTTTCAATGCGACATTCCACCATATTAGTTGCTTAAAACTCGGACAGTTTTATAAAATGGCCTATCAACAGTTAAAATCAGTTACAAGAGTTTGAAATAACTTGTCCCATAATTCCAA